CCTGGAGCTATTCAAAGACTATTTTCTCTCATCCCAAAAGCCTTCTGTGAATTTACTCAAGGACACAAATGTGACCATTATTGCTATAGGAGAATGCTTCAGAAGGAAATAGCAATGAGAAATGAATATGTGTACAGATTCTCTGAAAGAGGGGTTGGAACAAAAAGATCTTAAGGTCCTTTTCAACCCAAATCATTCTATGGTTCTATGAATTGAGAAGAGAATCCTCTGCCACCCCACCTTTTAAAGCAGCCAAGAGAATTCCACTGCAATGCCATCGCATGTAAATTCAAGACAAAAAGAGAAATGAAAGGAGGACAGCATTCTCTATTAAATGCTTCAATAGGTACCTACAACCTTTCCTGCTCTGGTAGCAACTCTGTACAATCCACCCACTTGTCTGGGAATGCAAAAATGTGAAGGCAAGATGAAAAAATAGCTTAAACCCCATCGTTTTTAAACACGGTTTACTCTTGCTTGCACTACGCCACCAGAGCCAACAGTTTCCAACATCCATTCCAGCTATTTCAGGCCATTTAAACTCTGCTTCCTGCCTGCAAATCTGCTCGCGCCGTTCCAGATGGAAGCACCAAATACAGAGGTCAATCTGTGCAGGAGCACTGGTCGCTGGCTGTCAGCTCCCATAAACCATGAGCCATCACTTCGTCACTCTCAGCCTTCGGCTTTGCAAGCTGTGACTAAAGATCCTGACTTGCTCTGCTGGCAGCTGTTGCAAGCTGTGAGCCAGCATCTTGGCACGCTCAGCTGCAACGCTCACCACTTCTGTGCTCACAGGCTGTCATGTTCAGTGCGCAGGGCTCCGGGGTGACATGGCACCACAGGGTGAAGAGGATCAGCTCTTTGAACGACCCACATTCACCCACCTGACTCATTTTTAATCACTTTCCAATAGAGGTCATGCGGCAGTAAACATCTGGCTGTGGTACCGCAGCCACCTTCCAAAGAGAGCTATCTTGCTAGTCAACATCCAGCCCCACTCTATCAGTTGTCAATAACTTGTGCAGTCACGTTAGTGCAATGACCTGCTTTTCATCCTAAAATCCCCCCAAAAGCCAAAGGACCAGTGTTTTCAAAGCACAAGAGCATCTTTGCTAAATAACACTTGCTTTGCTTCCCCATGAAATTAGCAAATAATGGAGAACACCCTTCCAGAGGCTGCGTATGGGAACACTTGCTGACCACAGACAGCAGAGCAGTATTTCTAGGCAGCAGTAGTTAAAACGTTTAACACACATATGATGTATTTTACAAGCTTACTTGCCTGAGAATGATGAAAGCAACGAAACAGCTGTCTGAAAGAAGGACTAGAATTCACCAAGTCTTAGAAATCATTTGTGATTGCAAACAAAGCATTGGGAATACCACCACATATAAAGAAGAAAGCTGCACTGTGTTCCCACTCCAGCTTCCAGCCCTGACTGTACCTTTGGACAGCCTCAGGAAGCTGCAAAGAGGAAGATGATCGATTTTCCTTGGATTTGGTAATGGTTCATATTAATGGCACTAGGAAGCAGGAAGGCAAGAAGAATTTAGCCTATTTCCCCTCATAATTTTCTACTCACCTTAGAGTAACAAGAAAGGAAGATCATAAAGAAGCATAGAAATATACCTGTCCTGGTTCTGGCTGGGAGAGAGTTAATCTTCTTCCTTTCTTTCCATGAACTCTGCGCAGTGCTATGTGAAACACAACGTGCCATTCCCTCACCAGGAGATAAATGCTGTAGGCACCCAGACAAGGAGTGGTTTACAACCAATGCCTAAATTACCAGTGTCAAAATACTGCTTGGGCTTTTGTTTTAATGTGGCTCCTGACAGCTCTATACAGGTTCATCACTTGTGGCCTGTGAATTGTGGTTTAACATCAGGGGTTAACTGAAGAAGGAAAACCAGGTAAGATTTAGCAGTAGCCTTTCCCTCTGCTGAGAGGGGATTTTCCTCCTCTCCACTAAGGAAACAAGGAATCCTCACAACTTCCCTCCTGTGCTAGTGGAATGACCCAGAACACATTCCCAGCCCCTTCTACTTGCCTTCACTAACAGGCTGCCCGCTACTGGAGAGAGCTGGCTGCAAAGCCTTGCTTTAAAGCCTGCTTAAAGGACAAGGAAATCACACAGCTCATGTGTATACCTGCCAATACACGTCTAGCCCATCTGCAGTTCTGTTCCACCTCTGAAAGGTGATTTCAGCACCACAAAACTATCACTTGAAGGTCAGGTTTTGTTTTATCCTTGACCACAAAGGGAAAATAAACCCCAAACACCACATTTCTCTCCCACTGGAGATAGCCCTGTTCTAAGACATCAAGACAGACACACACTGTGTTCCCTGAAATGCTATTTTTGCTGCTGTGGAAGCAATGAATGAACAAGCACCATGCATAGAGGCTGCCCTGCTCCCTCTGCTGGCTCCCCCTTAGGAAAGCTGCTCCATGCCTTCTAAAAGCAAATTTAAGGACAGATCTAACACCCACTCCTGCATCTTCAGATACATCTAAAGCTGCACGCTGCCATTTTTTGCTAGCACATACATATGTATTATCATACAAGATAGGAGGCATATAAGTATCCCAGCAAAGTTCAACATTCTCCTTACTCCGAAAGCCCTTACAAACATTTACCCTTTAGCTTCACCCTCTGAAGGCATTTGAGAACATGAGCGTAGCAACCTGCAGTCCTCAAGCACTACAAGTTGAGTAACGTGCTCTCTGTGTGTTAAGTAACAGCAAAGCATGCTGGTTGTCTTTTTACAGGGCTTGCGTACAGGAGCTTAGAGTAGGATCAAAATGGATCTTTATTCTGATGAAGAAGAGCAAGAGACGTAAGGGACAGAAGGGACATGTTATTTTTCTTGAGTAGTATTTAGAAATCGGAACAATACTCATTCCTTTTACCTTCTAAACAGAGCTCAGCTATGAATGTTGAGACACACTGGAAACACACGTGACGATTACAGCTCCCTGGCACAGACCCCAGTAAACTCCTCTCTATACCTGCCCTGTCTTGCCAAACCAAGGCACATGTGCTTCACCGGGCAAGACTCAGCTGTGTACAAGCACTTGTCCCGAACTGCCACCCAGGTTCACATGTGGGCTCTGTTTCTGGTACCTTTTCAATTCATCCTACCCTTAAAGGCATCAGGGCAAATACTGCATGTGGACCAGGGTCTGTGGGGTACTTTGTTGCCAAACATGTCTCTAATTTGGATTCTAACTCTTGCCCTTAGGCAAAAGTAGTCATGATTTATAGAAGACGACTGCAAAAACTGCCCAAATGACCTGGATAGCATTCTAAATCACAAACCATTACTAAAGAGCACAGGGTACAGTTTGGTTTTGTAAGCCTGTGGACAGCAGGATGTAATGATACACATTCTTGTTTTCCATCTATAAGCTATTCCTCACCATTGAATTAGAAATCTCAGTTCATCTGTAAATGAACAACATAAGGTATGCTAGCCCTGTTTCCATAATTTGCATCCCACTGTCTTTACCAACAGACCTGATGGGCAATGCACCTGCATTCCTGGAAGGCATTTCCCTATTTGCAAGTCCAATTTCCTTTCACATATCCCCCCACTTCCAGCTTCTAGTCTGGGGTCAGATATACTGCCTGTTCCTCTCCATCATCTTGCCCTGGTACCTCCTCCAGCAATAGAAAGGACTACCTCAGGAATGGATAACACATGACACAGGCAGATTCACTGGATACACTCAATACACTACTGCTTTTGCACATGGCCCATATTGTGAAATCTCCACTGCTTATACACGTATGAAGAGGTTTCTATTCAAGCCCCAGGACACAATCCAGTTCTTAACACGACAAACAGCAGAAATAGAACACGAAACCTTTCCAGATACACTTCTGTATTCTGTGTCACATTCCAAGGTTAAGTAATGCCATGGAAAAAGACCAACGCACACAACTTGAGATGTGGAACCAGCTTCGCTTTCTGTCATTTAAGGACTCGCTCAAGGAGGTATGATCCTGGAATCACTGCAAACCTGACCGCGATTTGAACATGGATTTATTCATGCTCCTCTTGAAGTACCAAAGGATGTTTCTTGGTTGTCTTCCCTGCACTAACAGCTTATACATGTGGCTTGAAACAGCCGACGTTAGCTATCTTCATTAACATGTTGTATCTCTCGCCACAATTTGACTCATCTGCTAGTGGCTATGGTACCTCACAGCGTCTCAGGTGATGGAATTTGAGGATCATGAATGCTACACTGTAGAAGTCATACCGAAATGTTGTGTTGTTCAGTGAGACCAGGTCTGTCAACAGATGAAAACAGTCTGCCCCCAAATAATGTTAAGATATATGAAACATTCCACCACATTTGTCTTAGCTGTTTGTCATTTCAAAGGTGAAGATGTTAACTTTGCCTCCGAGTGATGAGACACGCCAGGTAACTGAAGCATCATAAATCTCATTATCACTCCTGTATAGAAGCTGGTAATTGGTGCAAGATAATTTAAACAAGCTGTTCTGGTAAGTGCTCCCGCTGAAAATGCACCAGGAAGTGCCTTTTTCATCTAAGCATGAAGGTTAAAACCAGAGCAAATGCAAGAATTCAAAGCAAAGCCCAAGCTAAAAGGCTTAAGGGAGCACCATTCCACTAAATCACTGCGAGCACCTGAACAGGGCAGGAATCTGGTTTTTAGGGAGTTCAGGCAAGCAAATGTCATGTGAACAGGCAAGACAGAAGGTACATTGCCACCACAGCTGGAAATAAGGGGACTCCAGTGCTGGAAAGTCTCTGAAGGAAACTCTTTGCTTCTAGCAAGATGAATAATACACCTGGTTCCCTACTTGTGAGCAAACACTACAAAGGAATAATTAGAAACTATCTGACCTGAAACCCACATGCCCATTACTGTGGTATTTTTCCACCTACTACGGGTGAAACAGAAGATGGGCTGGACCTGGAAGGGGAGGGGTGGAGTGGCAGCACAAGATGCTGATTTATAAAGCACTGGCAAACACTGTTCTTTCTCCACAGGCTTTGGACACTGAACCCGTCCTGCCTAAAGGATGCTGAAGTGCAAGCAGGACTGCAGCTAACACCTACTGGGCAGTGGAGAGAGAGCTACAACCTCTGTGAGCTCGTGCACTCCAACAGCCAAAACTGCCCTGAGCCACTTCATTCTCCAGTGGAGCTTTTGCTTTTCATCCAGAGACTTTGGCTTGCCTGTTTCACTCCATCAGGGAAGGAATAAACTCTCCAACATGGTAAAGGTGAGTTCACAGAACTGCTGCTACCACATGTGTATTTCTCCTTAAGAACAAGCATTAAGTTTTAATATAGATAGCTATATTATAAATGTGAGCTAAGTGAGAAATGGAACTGTTTAATGACTAAAATGTTCACTGTAGATGGATATGCACCTGTGACCCTAAAAAGTAAAGAGATCAGAGTGGATGGGGAAGAATTCTAGGAATGGCTGGTTTCACAATCAACAGTTTCATGAACACTATCCCTTTTGCAATGCCAAAACCTGAGATTTTATGAAAACTTGCAGGTTAAAGGCTATACATAGATCCTGCATAGGCATGATCAATAGATTTTACTAACTTCATTGATTTTCTTTGTAATTCTCCTGTATCTGCTAAGTTCTCACAATAGAGATCTGTTTTCTTCCTCTCCTCATCTCTCTACTTTAAGGGGATTTGAAAAGCTGAACAGATTTTTGGCTAGGATTGTTAAAGAGAGGAGGAGGAGAAGGAGGAAGGTGAAGGAAAAATCTCAATAGAGAAACCAGACTGTGAACCTTCAGTGAGGTAGGAAAAAATAGAGCTTCTTCTAACAGACATGCCCTTTATTTGGGATATGTATCACCAAGCAAATTCAAATGCTTTAAGGAAAAGCATTTCAGACTTTTAACTCCCTAAACTACTCGCCAGCTCTTAGCTTTTCCCTTCCTTGAGATAACAATGCCAAGACTTCAACATTCCTCTCATTAAAGGGCATCTGAGGATAAGACGCCACTTTTGAGTTCAGATCAACATTAACACATCCCAGTCCTCTTGTTCTTTAATTGTTGCTTCCATTACTTGAGCTCTCTGGTTTAGTCTGCATGTAATTAAGACATCTACTCTCGACTCATCTGAAATACCATCTCTATAGGGGTACAAACACTGACAAATGCCCTCCACTCATCGCACAGACAGTGGCCTAGGAGCTCTGCTGTCCCACTAGCAGAGCACACCATCAGATAAGATCCAGTATGACTGTCATGAAGCTCTGACGCTTAATCCGTAAGGAAGCTTCTGAAATGGGGTCAACCAATAGTTCTTCCAAGGCATGGCATGTAGTTTACAAGATAATTAGGATCTGGAACATTATGATTAGGGAAGCTGGTTGAATTAGCAACACAGGAAGTTTGCCCTTCAAACTACAGTATTAAAAGTTAGGAAACAGCTCAATCCCAAGTTATTAATTGAAGCAAAACTTTCTCACACGAAGTTCTCAATGACCATTTTCCCCTCCCTTTTCCTTTCCAAAATCTTCTGCTTTTACACCGATTTCTTCTTGGAGCTGACTTAATGGCTTTGAGATCCTGGGGCAGTATTCCTACACTTTGTGTTAGGCCATAAAGTACTACAAGTATTGCACATCCCTAAAGGAATCATGCAATGTACATTTGCTGAAGACCTGCCCATGATTACTGTAACACACGCTGAAGAGACCTCAGGATAAGAAAGGAACTAACACTCAAAGTTGCTAGGAGTAAGAGACAGCAGCAACGTGTAGCCTTGTCTAATAAAGTAGGTTTGTCAGAGTTTGACTTGTTTGTGGTATTTTTTCCTGCTTCAAGTCCCAGCAGATGCTCCCAACAATGCCAAAACCTTATTTCTTTTACAGAAAAAGTCTGATATTTACTCGGTTGAGATCTATGGAACAAGAGATGTAGAAAAAACAGAGTTTGGGGAAGAGGCAAAGTACAAGGACTTAAAAGGCAACAAGAAACAAAAGAAGACAGAAGACCTTAAGAAAGAACTGGAACTGGTGAGTGTTGCTAAGCTCCTATTACAGCTGACAGGACAGACAGCCTCTACCCACTGTGTGAATGAAGTCTGGTGAAGAGGAGGGAAGTGCTGATGCATGGTCATTTTAACTCAAAATCCTAACACAGGATTACTTCCTCATGCCAGAAGAAAGTTGTGCAGGATTAATATCTATAATGAACTGATAATTCCAGCTTAATTAAGCCACCAGTGGTACAAAATGTTATCTCCTCAAATGGACTAACTGTAACCGGTATTTCCTGGGAACTGCAACTTGCACAGTGAACCAGGAAACAGAGATGCTTTGATCCAGAGATTTCTAGTAGATCTAAAAGCACACCTCATCTTTAAGTACAGAGGCTTTCCCCCCTTCAAACTAACCGCACTGTACTTCAAGGACACTGTATTAAGCTCAAGAAACTTGTGTTTTACTACTGGCTTGCTGCTGACCTGCTGGCTGATCTTGGGAAAGTTGCTTCCTCTCTATACTTTTCAGTTTCCCAATCTGAAAAATGAAGGTAATTCTAGTGACCTCTTTTCTGAAAAGCTCTGAGAGCAACTCAAAGGAGACTCTGCTTATGGGCCAGATGATACTTCAAAGGCAAGGAACCCCCAAAATGGACCATCTGTTTACCCATCATGTTTCCCAGGTCTACCCAGTACTAGCTAAATAATTCCTGATGTACCTTTGCCACCAGGGATGTAACATTACTCCCATGTTTCTAAAGAGAAACCAAAGCACAGACAAGTTAATTGTCTCATCCAAGTACCAATGAATCATTCTGTGAAAACAATTGTGAGATCTCTCACTTCTTGGCGTCTAAATCTCAGTTTGGCACAAGATGTAATTAGGTCAATGATACAGAAGTGTCACTGCAGAGAAAGGGGAACTTTGAGATTTCCCTCTCCCCCACCCTTTTTAACTGTGGTTCGAGTCATTTCACACACCCTGCCTGTCAATCAAGTGCAAAGGCTGCTGTCACGCATACCCTGACACCACATTCTTTCTTCTATGAACATACTGCCTGAGGTAGCAAATGCTTGAGTCCTGGAGCATGTAAAGAGGATCTATTTATCTAAAAGCAGCACAGATATTTGTAACAAGCAGTATTAACATGAAATCACCATTCTGTTCTTGTGACAGATTTGCTGGAGGAGGGAGCTATTTACAAAAGTGCTCTCCAGAGAAAATTCCATCTTCCAGTGGAAGATATTTTGCTTATCAATATGCAAGTTGCATTTTGTCTATTCATGAAAGTGGGATATCACACTAGCAACTGGATCAACTGGATCCATGGTCCCAGATCCAGGCAGTTTGAACATTCCCCCGATGCTGAAATAAAAATGTCACCATTCTGCTCACTATAATTTTCTCTTTCTTTTGGAATCCAGGATGACCACAGGCTCAGCACTTCAGAACTGGAGAAGAAGTATGGTACCAGCATCAGTGAAGTAAGTGCATAGGGCATCACTAAGAAACTGCCTGAATCAGTTTGCCTCTGGCTGACCTAAAGCTCTCTAGAAGCAGTAGGAAAGCATTTAGACTAACACACTCATACATAGGTGTACGTGGAAATGCATGCATTCATGCTCCCAATAAAGCCTAAGCCAGCCGTTGTGCAGCACTGACCTGGATTTAAACCGGAGCTTCTCTCAAGCCTGAACTACTGTTCTGAAATCAAAATCCCTGCACAAAACATGATCTCAAAGTTCCCATCAGGACCTCTGCTTTTCTATAGTTTTATGCAGTATTTAGATTTCACTACAATTCATTTCTCACTGGCAGTGTCTGTAACAATTCATAGCAAGAGTGCGCTGGAAATGATTTTATCTTGCAGGAAACGCTAGATTGAGAAACTATACACCCCAGTCCCTTTGACACCAAACATTCAGATATCAAAGCAACGTGGTCAGAGTACAGACAAGAATGTCAGGAAACCTACAAACTTCTTGGTGGAAATGCAGAAACAGCAGCAGAAGAACCAGTGTCTGGTTTTCCCCAGCTTTCCTAGCACTTGGTACAGGGGTACTTGACAGATAACTGACAGAATGAAAACTGAATGGACACAGCCCCAGATCCAATGCTCCAGTAAAGAAATACCTGTCTCTTCCTAGCAGATGACCAATAGTAGCTACTCTGAAATCAGAAAGGTTGGAAGTCAAAGATGCAGGTTGCTACAGCTGATCTGTGAAATGACCAGCAACATTTAAGGATAAACCAGAACCTGTTTTATTGTGACTTCCTTCTAAACATGTCGTTTACTTGTGCAGGGTCTCTCCAGTGCAAAAGCAGCACAGGTTTTGGCGCGGGATGGTCCCAATGCACTCACTCCTCCCAAAGCCACCCCTGAAATCGTGAAGTTCCTCAAGCAGATGATAGGAGGGTTTTCCATTCTCTTATGGATAGGAGCTGTCTTCTCCTGGATTTCATTTGGCATTCAGCTTGCCCAGGGAGCTGAGTCACCCTTTGACAATGTAAGTAGTTGAATAACCACAGAGTATTGGAACCTGTGACAATCTAAGTAATTTAAATACTACTTCAGTGTTATTCAGTAACTACAAGGAGGCCTTTTATTCTTTCAGGACCCTCCTTCCAGTACTGAATGTTTCTGATAAATGCACAAATACCTGACATACCGCTTCTGCCTAAGAGTGCCTATCCAAAGGTTTTATAACCACATAATACTTGAGTACTTATAACAGCAAAACTAAAGTCCACAAAGGACTCTGGAGTCTTTGACTCCATTCACTTACGAGTCACTCTGCTAGGAATACAATTTGTCCAGGTTTGTGTCAGGTATAGTCTAGAGAGAGATGGGAAACTTGCAATTAAAAGCTCTTTTTGTACTCAAAAAGATTTATTTGATCATTAACCTTGAATGGTCTTTTCCTCAACTGTCTTTTACCCTGACCAATACCTCATTTTAAGTCTCATGAAACATGAGAGAACTCAAATGTATTCTAGCAGAAGAAATGTTGAGTATTTGTCTCAAATTAACCAGATCGTATCTTTCATTGATCAGCTCTACCTTGGAGTAGTCCTGGCACTGGTTGTCATCCTCACTGGCATCTTTGCTTACTATCAAGAAGCTAAAAGCACAAACATCATGGCCAGCTTCAGTAAAATGATTCCACAGGTGAGAGCAACTGATGCATTTCATTTGAGACAAGAGCTCATTCTGATAATACACCTCAAAGTGACAAAAGCACAGCAAGCCTTACCTGAACATACCCCTTAAGGTTCAGATGATGGCACATGGCTAATTTTTGTCACACTTGTGTCTTTCAGCAAGCTCTGGTCATCAGAGATGGAGAAAAGAAGGAACTGCCAGCAGACCAGCTGGTGGTTGGAGATGTCGTGGAAATCAAGGGTGGAGATAGGATCCCGGCGGACATTCGTCTGATCTTTGCTCAGGGTTGTAAGGTACTTTGAAGAGCATGGGGTATTACAGCTAAAGATTGTCTGCACACCCAATATGGGTGATTAGAGCTTTAATAAGTCATAATCTAATTAAGTCATAGACTGCAGCAGCTATACTGTGATGCTCAGCTCATCTCGGACTAACATCTCTGCTCCCTGAACAGCCATTAGGTCCACACCATGTTCTAGCAATGCCCTTTGCCAGGCCAGAGGCAGAAATACCAACAGATGAAGAGTTTCCACAGACCTGCAGGCAGATCCTCAAACCATGGGTTCTTTCAGGCTGCTACTGAAATGCCAGTGACAGACACACATCATTGACAGAGCTGAATTCCCACAGAAATACAATCTTTCAGTGATAACAGCAGCTCTCTCAGAGAAAAGGAAACAAGAGATGATGGCCCTGTCACCCAGTATTAAATGTGTCACCACCTTGCCTTCTGGGCTAGACATAACTGCATATGACTAACTTTAACCCAGGCATATCTCCGTTTCATTAAAGGTGGACAATTCTTCACTCACAGGGGAATCAGAACCACAGTCTCGCTCCTGTGACTTCACCCACGAGAACCCCCTGGAGACCAAGAACATTGCCTTCTACTCCACCACCTGTGTGGAAGGTATGTACAGAGAAAAGGGCCTAATAGTGGTTTCATTGCAGTCTTCCCATCATTATGTTAAGCACTGCCAAGTTGCAGATGCTTCTGAGTACTCGTGGATGCTCATGTGTGAGGGCTCTGCATACATAAAGGGGTCGTTCCTATTCTCAACACTCAAAGGTATGTGTGTCATACCTGGCAGTCTATCTGCTACAAGACTGTACAGTGCCCAGGCTAGCACTACAGTCCTACTGCAATGCAATTAAATACTCTAATTAATAACAATGCTTCACATTTTCCTTTCTCTTCAACATGTAAGATTTCTAAGGGGAAGAATGTAATTCTGGGGTGAAGTCTCAGTCACACTAAGTCTGAGAAGGGTCTCCGTCTGGGTTCAGAATGCAGGAGCAGTCTCTCCTGGAGTTGAGAGTCTTATTTCTTTAGTATTTTATTGACAGGGGTTTATGACAGCGTTTTATCTCTTTATCTCTCCAGGCACTGCTACTGGCATTGTAATCAACACAGGGGATCGCACTATCATCGGGAGGATTGCCTCCCTTACCTCAGGAGTAGGAAATGAGAAAACACCCATTGCTATTGAGATAGAACATTTCGTCTACCTGGTGGCAGGAGTAGCCATTTCCATCGGTGTTCTCTTCTTCATTATATCTGTCTCTATGCGATATAAGATTCTGGACTCCATCATCTTTCTAATTGGCATCATTGTGGCAAATGTGCCCGAGGGACTGCTAGCTACAGTAACGGTAAGTCTGTTTGAATTCACTGGTTGCCTCTGTAATTATCTTAAGTCATCATCACTGTTCATCACTCCTAAGTCATTATAGTACAACACTAACCAGTGAAAAACAGACTATTAAGTGACTGAATTTGAAATAGCGGTGGTTTATTCCATGAAACTGGAATTCTGGTACAACTAATCTTATAATAATTAATCTTAGAAGCTGCAGCAGAGCCATCCAGTTTGAAACAAGGTTCTTCAAGTACTGTTCTCCCTCAATTGCTAACCAGCAGAATAATGTGACTCATTTCCCTACAACCTGTTCCTATTTGTACCCTAAAAGTCACATTCCTCTTAATAACACATATAAGGCAGCACTAATAATATCCTTGGCTGAGAAAAGAACCATTTCAGGATTCATTAAGTTATTGACTAGGAGCTTCCCCCCCCCCCCAGTATAGGTCCTTCCATCTAAAACCTCCTCTAGACTGATATAACATTCTTATTTCTATTAGTGAGTTTTTCTCAGCAGCAAAAGTACTTGTGCTGGTTACAGCCAACCCTCTGATCTCAATGACGCTATTACAAAAGATAATTCTTTTAAAAGCTCTCTTCCTAAAAGAAAACCCATCCCAAAACAAACACAACCCTCCCAGCAGAAGTATGTACTCCCAATGCATCGCTCTCTAACTGTGCCTCACCAATAGTGACCTGAACTTCTTTACTTCTGCCAGGTGAGTCTGTCTCTGACAGCCAAACGGATGGCTAAGAAGAACTGCTTGGTGAAGAACCTGGAAGCTGTGGAAACGCTTGGCTCTACCTCCGTCATCTGTTCTGATAAGACAGGGACCCTCACACAAAACAGGATGACGGTTGCTCACCTTTGGTTTGACAATCAGATCTACTCAGCTGACACCAGTGAAGATCAAACAAGTAAATATGGCAAAGGGGGGGATCTGGGAAGGGGCAACTACCTGGATAAAAGCTCCAGGTCTACCAGCTGTCAAACTGGTGTCAACGGGAATGCCTTTAGCTAGATATACCAGACATGTCTGTCTTCCATGCGTAAGTGTAGTGTGCATTAGCAAAGTCACTTAGTCACACAGAGATGTGAAAAACTGAATTAATATCTGCATTTGACTCACAGAAAGTAAGCCTGGAGGAGGTTCTGATCCAAATCCTTTTGCTGACAGTAAATTTAGTTGGGAAATAAACCAAGAACTGTCATGTTTAGTCATGTCTATGATTCTCTGTAACCCAGAACTAACTGATGGATGTAAGGGTCTGCATCAAATTGGTTTTCTGTAACAGAACTTATCAAAAGAACAGTTTTCTTCTGGAAATAATTCAATCCTGTTGTTTCAAACTTAAGTGTCTACATCCATCATGTAATATGCTAAAGGACACAATGTGTGTTTTGCTTCCTCTCAGCCCAGCCTTTTGATCAGAGTTCTCCATCATGGACAGCATTATCAAAGATTGTAACGCTCTGCAACCGGGCAGAATTCAGACCAGGACAGGAGAATCTCCCCATAATGAAGGTACTGCCTACTATGCATCAGCTTATTTCTCCTCCTCTGAAACAGTAATACATCAAGTTGTTCTGTTTGGCTTTAGTAATCACTTCCATTTTATTACATTAACCTTCTAAGTTACTATTTATAGTAGTATCACTGCTATACACTCACGAGAAGTTTAAGATGGGAAAGAAAAACCACACAGCCAAGAGCAACTGTACATTGGAAAAAGAACACACTAGTAATTACTATACTATTAAAAGTCATCTGATTGCATGCATCAGTCAGTTCACCCATACATGCCTGCAGCTATGCTATAACTGCATTATACAGCCACCACAATAACCTGAAAGTGATCACAAATCAGCTTTCACAGTATCAAACAGTAATTTCACCTTTTTGCTGTAGCAAAGATGCCCCACATTCCTACTGTAATACTTTTCCAGGAGGACTTGAATATAGCAGCGCAGATTCATTGCTGCTTAAGCATAGAACCCGATACAGAACCATGCAAGCTCTCCTGATGGAAGGGCAGAATTCTGTGTGCTATAACCAGTTCCTTCTGTTGTGCACACAGAGAGTTGTGGTAGGTGATGCCTCTGAAACAGCTCTGCTGAAATTTGCTGAAGTCATTTTGGGTGATGTTATGAATATTAGAGCACAGAACAAGAAAGTGGCTGAAATTCCTTTCAACTCCACCAACAAATTCCAGGTATGTTTCAATTTTGGAGATTATGCCAGATTGCTTCCAACTTCAAACCATTTCTATCGCTGCGTCTAATGCAACTATTTGTGACCTGGGAATCTTACTGGGGTAATTCAATGACAGCGGAAATTTAAGCTATAATAACTAAAGTTCATTCTATTTGATGGAATGTATGATAACCTCACATTACTTCAGTGCGAAGTGACCCAAACGAGGCTCACATATGCTCTTTCAAATCATTTCCTCTCTCTGGCACACAGCTTTCCATTCACAAGACCGATGATCCCAATGACAAACGCTTCCTGCTGGTGATGAAAGGCGCCCCCGAGAGGATTTTGGAGAGATGCAGCACCATCATGATCAACGGCAAAGAAGAACCACTGGACAGTGAAAAGGCAGAAGCTTTCCAAACAGCATACATGGAGCTGGGAGGCATGGGAGAGAGAGTGCTGGGTGAGTCCAACTAAAGGGATTATCAGAGAGCTGCGGTGTAAAACGGGGCTTTAAACCTTGGTGCAATCTAGTGTTTGGAATTCATTCCTCCTGCACTAGAGGGGAGAAAGGAAAGCATACAACCTCCTAAGTAGAGTGTTAAAAGCACACTGACATACTCCAAGGTCTCTGTGGCAGAGATGCCCTTACTGCTCTTAGACTGATGTTGATCTGCCACACTGAAGAGCCAGAAAACCCCATGAGTAATTCACAAAGGAAACCACTCTTCCCTGCTGGCAGTATCCCTATCTTTGCACACAGAACACCGACTCTGTATGAACTTTGATGTGAAGGTTACAATAGCGGGTCAAAAGAAATCCTCCATAAAAAGCTATTAGTTAAAGACACTAGGGTTCTATGGACAAGAGCAAAGCCTTAAGCTATAGAACAAGTTCCCTTTCTCCCAGTCCTTCTTGTACACCACATGAACACAAGTTTCTTTTCAGGTTTCTGCCATTTGTACCTGCCTGAAAACGAGTTCCCAGACACCTACTCATTCGACACAGATTCCATGAACTTCCCAACCTCCAACCTGTGCTTCGTTGGGCTCTTATCTATGATTGACCCACCTCGCTCCACGGTGCCAGATGCTGTCTCAAAATGCCGCAGTGCTGGGATCAAGGTAGGGATTTTACAGTGAAAAATGCAGCGATTCTACAGAAAGATTCATGATAAGAAAGCTTTTAAGATCTTCCACCACATTGTCTTTGAGTGTCTTTCTAGCAACAGCTACCAAACCCCTAAATACTCGTTAATACCATTCTACAATTGTAACTTAAAGGCCACAAGAGGCAAAACAATTTCAGTGGGAATTGGATGATGGGAAGTGCATGGAACCCCAAAACTGGAAATCCAAAGTGGGAAAGGCTCAGATACCATCTCATCGGATCCATTTCTAGAATACAGAACCCATGCCAGCTAGACTTACTCATTGTAAACACAGTAAGGTTATAGAAACAGTTCTTGAGAAGGCATTAGGACACAGGGCTACACCTGATAAGAACTTTCATGCGTAAGTATCAGTAATCTCAAGCTGTTCAAGTATAACCTGAAGCAGTACTTCTAATTCACTCCCAGGGGACCCACAAGTGAAATTTCAGCTCTAGGCAGAGAGGCAATCTTGCTAAAGAAAGGAAAAACACTATTAGGAATTACCCATCTCAGATGAGTGCCAATCCTGGGGACATTTTCTATAGTCTGAAGACAGGTCCAGCAACTTTTCTTCAACAAAACCAAGGAAAAAAATGTGTTTTACCTGTGAGGACACCTCCGTCACAAGGATCTGTTTTACAATGCAATATTCTAATGAATCCTCACCTTTGAGTATGCTTATTAGAAATCCTTACATAAAGGGTTCTTTATTCTGCATTATTCTAACCCTGCTGCCTGTCACAAGTTCTTCCTTTACAGCCCTGATAAACTATCACCAATAACAAGAGATAAAGACCAGATGTCAATATAGAGCTAAGCAATTACTGGCCATAATCTGATACTGCTATGTACATAGCACACATTTCCATGTTCAGACTCCAAACTGCTTCCTGGTCTACAACAACCGAGCTATTTGCCCTTACCTCGCTCCAGCGTCCACTTGTCCCTTCCCCAGGTTATCATGGTTACTGGTGACCACCCCATCACAGCCAAAGCCATTGCCAAGAGTGTGGGCATCATCTCAGCCACCAGTGAGACAGTGGAAGATATTGCCAAGCGCCTCAACATCCCTGTTGAGCAAGTCAACTGGCGGTAAGAGCAGACAGACTACAGGGGATACCCAGGGGGTCAGCGCCTGAAAGCCAAAATGCTTTTCTGTTTCTTTATCTATCCATCCAGCATGTCACCTCTACCTAAATAACTACGTGTCTAGGTCAGTGGCTCTCTCCTCTGACAAAACTCAGCAAATTATACTTTGCAGATCTCGCTGGACTTTGCTGTCACTGCCCGTTTGACAAAACACACACGTGAAAAGCAAAGTGCAGAATCACACAACCCAAGGACCATCAGCCCCAATTCTTCTTTCAGCCATTAAATGTGACAAAAATAACATCACAAACCATAAAAGCTCTTCACAGAAAAGATGTCCTCCTCCACTGTCCACCCTCCCACTGAGAGCCCTCTCTAAAATGCTTTTCCTGCTGTTCTGTCTGCTCAAGAAGCTTCAATGACTCCCCTCCGTATCCAGGTAACTGTAATTCACTCTGGATTTCAACAGGGGCTTTCATTCAGCACCTGCTGATTAACAACTAATGCTTCTGAAATTAACTCAATTTGTGCTCTCTTTACTACCTGCATCCTTTCTATGAGTGCACTATTTTTATCTCAGCTCTTTGGTTGGAGAATTTACCCAGCTTTCCCGTGGCTCTTACAGAGAAGCTACAGCAGCAGTAGTTAATGGGATGGAGCTGAAGGACATGAGCTCGCAGCAGCTGGATGAAATCCTGTGTAACCACTCAGAGATAGTCTTTGCTCGGACATCACCCCAACAGAAACTGATTATAGTTGAAGGCTGCCAAAGGCAGGTAAGAGGTGTACAAGGGTAGACACATATATGTCTATAAGGTATTCATGAGGCAGATATCATACCCGAAGTGAAAGGGTGGAAGCCAATTTCCAGTGCTCTCTAAGCTCTGTTTATTCTCTTTCTGCTGTGCAAGAGCATTATCTAACAAGAATGCCACAAACACTGGCTGGACAGAGTCCAAGCTACTCAAATTCCTGTTCCAGACTCCAAACTCCTACTGACAAAACGAGCTTTCCCCAAGTTCAACTGGCTTGGAGCTGTACCCAGGGTCTGCCTTTTGCATATAAATCTGGAAAGCTGCTGCGCTGCACAGAAAGGCTCCTGGGCAGAGACTGTTTGGGAAGGAGCCTTCCCTCAGGAATTCTTTAAACCCAGATAAAAACAACATGTTACCACATCCTCCCACCTTAACCTCTTGTGGCCATTTAGACCTATGCACATCCTGCCCACAGGAATGTTTAGAAGTGAAATGGTTTAGTGCTGGACTTGGGAGTGGTGGGTTCGATCTTAAAGGTCCTTTCCAGCCCAAATGATTCCATGATTCTAAGGTATGAAACCCTCAAAACATCACAGCATGATTAATGTAGGACCAAGCCTTATCTGTGTTCCTTTCAAAGCTGTGGAACAGCCCACAGGAAGCATGATTTAAGGAGTTTGGCCCATTGGCAATAGGACATGCAGGAGCACGGAGGGCAGCCAGCGCAAGAGGCAGAAGGGAAAGAAATGACATGCGTAGAGCTCTGAAAGAGATTCAAACTGTCATCAGAAGATTCTCCCCTCAGATATGCCATCTCCAAGTAGATGCTGTGAGTTGAAAGCCACATGACTGCTGTGCCTGAACTCTGCGGAGGAGGAGATATGGCACAAGACATTGTTTTATGCTAAGCTTTCCAAGTCAGCATTATCAGCTCTTTGGGTTTAAGACCTGCTTTCAGGACGTGTAAAAAATAAGGATAAAGTCTTCAAATTTCATCCTTTCTGAATGGCCTGTGGCAAACGTGTTCTGCACTGCTCAGACACCAACACTCCTCGGACATTTGCCTCTTTAACTGATGAAAAGGAACATCCTCCCCCCTCAACTCAAGCCAGCCAGTCTACATGCTATGTTTAGTACTTAGAGCTTATAAGCCCTTCTGTACACGGCAATATTTATAGGTAGTGACACTGTGCTAAATCTCCCCAGGGACAGAACATTCAGTATTTGTATTAATCAGTTTGTCAGGCTTTTTTCCTCACTCAGAACATTCTGTATTGCCAGCAAGACAGGAGCTTCTGCATCAACTTTTGTTATCTGTAGTGGAAGATAACCAAGAAACCAAGTTGAATAATCAGGTTTTTTCCATTTTTCGGATTACTAGTGCAATTCTAGCATAGAAAGGCAATGTCTAGAAGTTGTTGGGATGAGAACGGGCACTAGCTGAATGGTTATATGACTTACAAATGAGATGAAAACTGACTGTTTCTATAAGAACTTCACAAAAAAGAAGACAAGGACAGAGCAGATTCCCCACCTGATTCCCCACAGATGCGCCTTGGTGTTCCGCTTTATATTCCATAGAAAGCAATGATCAGATTGTGTTTTATGTGCATCTAATTAGAAGTCTACTCTCTAGGATGTAGGAAATCATATCCCTGAATTTCCTGAATAGATCTTCCAGAGATTTAAAGATGTAGAATGTGACTATCCTTAGGGGAAGACAGCACCATCTCCTCACAAAACCCACATCTGGATCCTTTTGTGTGTTCCAGGGAGCAGTCGTTGCTGTGACTGGAGATGGAGTCAATGACTCCCCAGCTCTTAAAAAGGCAGATATTGGAATTGCTATGGGCATTGCTGGGTCTGACGCAGCTAAAAATGCAGCTGATATGGTCCTGCTGGATGATAACTTTGCTTCTATTGTCACGGGAGTGGAGGAAGGTAAAAATAACGTTGCTATTCCCTTTCTCAGCTGAAAGCTGCTGACAGCTGCACAGCACTGGTGGGGCCTCCTGATCCTTCCCTCCTGGTTCACCCCTGTTTTCTTTCTGGCTTTGGAAATGGGATTTTGATATGTGGAAAAAAAGGGAATTAAATCCATTTAGAACATGGCAATCAGACAATGAGCGAATCATCCCTCCCCTCTCACAGACAGCATCGGTCTGCTGTCCCTGCTTGTTCACGCTCCAGACAAAAGCACTTCCCATCTTGTTCCTATGCAGTTCTGAGCCTCACAAAGACACAAGCTTCTTTCTCTACGGTTTCACTCTATTACTTGCTCACACATCACCTTCACCATGCTCCACCTACGACAGTAACACGTTCCACTCTTCTCCCACCATGAAGAGCTTATGGTGCCCATTAAAGCTACAATATATTGTGGACAGGGACTTTTCCCTCAAGCTTTGTGACTGAAAGAGATTTTTAAGTTTTCATTTCAGTTTTCAGAAGTCTCTATGGGAAGCAGGCTGGTATTTAAAAGAACACAGCCAAAATGTACGAGGAAAGCAGACAGAAGCAGTAAATGCTTTCACTTCATTTGGTTGAAACCTGACCTTTTCCTTTGGAAAGCACTGATGACAATTAGCTTTTACACAAGTGTTTCTTTTTTCCTCCAGGCCGCCTCATCTTTGACAACCTAAAGAAAACAATTGCCTACACCCTGACTAAGAATATTGCTGAGCTCTGTCCCTTTCTCATCTATATTATTGCCAGCATCCCACTGCCCATTGGCACTATCACCATCCTATTCATTGACCTGGGCACGGACATTGTAAGTTGGGGTCTTTGTAAGCTATTTTCTGCTGAAATCATGCCACTTTTGAGGGGCTGGGTGCAAAGGGACCCGTAGAACACAGGAAGATTTAGTTGCCTTACCCTGCGGCTGAGTAACAAGCTAATGAAAGAGTAGAGGGGTAGATTAAAGCAGCCAGGTACAGAGATGAAGAGTAGAAAGGAAAACCTGTGGAGAGGGAGTAGAAAGAAAAGATTTCTATCAATGCTGACAAGCAAACTTAGCGTGCAAGACGGAGTGTGTTTCAAGCAGGAGATCATAGAGATTGCTGCAGTTACTGCAGGGGAGGAATACCAGACGTCTCATTAAAGCCCAGCCCAGGGGAGCTGAAAAGACCCTTTAATGTTTCCAGGCTCCTCTAGGCCTTTGTATTGTCCTATGATCATCAGACCCATGAAACAGTGCCAGACTTCCCTCAAATCCTTTACACATGTCAGAGGGATGCTACACGGATTGTTTCATTTATGCTGTGTATAGTGACAAGGCAGGGTACAGCAACAGAACCACCCAAGAACAGAAACCTTTCTGATAAGCATCTGAGCAGCAAACATTGGCACCAAGACTCTGATGGTTTATTTGTGTCCTAGATCCCCTCTGTTGCATTAGCCTACGAAAAAGCTGAGAGCGACATCATGAACAGGAGACCTCGTAACAAAAGGAAAGACAGGCTGGTGAATGAGCAGCTCGCTATATACTCCTATCTGCAGATTGGTACGTTGGCCTGTTCTCTCAACTCTTGTGTCAGCAGAGCAAGTTTAACTGATTCATTTGTTAGGAAAGGGGGACTGAAACTCAACCCCTTCCCCAGGCACAGTGACTAACTCATTCCAGTTGCTCATTATTCAACAATATAACAGGTTTTTATCAAGAGATCAAGAACCTTAGAGCACCAACAGCTCTAAAACTACCTTTAGACACATGGCGAGTTTCATGCCATAGGAAACAGATCAACACTGATATCCAGCACATTCCCCTGTGCTCCTAAATTTGGCTTCTTCCTCATTTCTCCCTCTTTGCTTTTGCAGGTATCATGCAGTCAGTGGGAGCCTTTGTAACCTATTTTACCGTGTATGCTGAACAAGGCTTCCTCCCTTCCACGCTGCTCGGAGTGCGAGTCAACTGGGAGAACAATGCCATCAATGACTTTGAGGATTCATATGGACAGGAATGGGTAAAGCAGCACTGAAACATCCCTGGCATTGCCTCTGTCCTCAAAAAGGAAGGATTAGGGAAAGACAGAGAGAGATTTAAATGCAACAAGAATTAGATTTTATCTAATGGCCCTTCAGGACTCTTTAGAGCTTCCTGCCACCCAACTCTTTCATCACACTCTATTCCTTCATGATTCTTCCACAATTTGCCACCTTCTAATTCAAAGCCTCTGGAGACGCACCCTCTTCCCTGGACTTCATGTTTAGCCCCATCACACTCTCTCAGCCCTGCTTCTGAACAGCACTACTGAGAAGTACTTTGCAGCCTCTTACTCCCCCTCACTCATTCTGCAGGACTCATAAGACACAGGAGCCATTAATAAATCAATATAAATACCTCTTTGTACCAAGCTCGTGCTTCAGCCTTATGATTCATCATCAGGCGAGGACAACTGGCCAAAAGCTGATCATTACAAATCTGAATCAGAATTAACTCTGCATTCACACCTTAGTAACTGAAATCCCACTATAAAGGTTGGCAGTCACCTACACAAGATAAAAGTATCTGACAGAACACAGTTTGATTTTTCCCTTTGCTTTGCAGACTAAATACCAGAGGACATACCTGCAGTGGACTGGCTACACTGCCTTTTTTGTCAGCATCACCATTCAGCAAGTTGCTGACTTGATCATCAGGAAAACACGAAGAAATTCCATTTTCCAGCAGGGTCTTTTCAGGTAAGTTTTGCAGGCATTTTACCTGATGCATAAGGGGATAAGTTAACCCACTACTAATTGTAGAAGGCACCTGCACTACACTTCTACACTAGATCAGTGATGTAGTCCACTCACATCCAGCCTTTGTTCAAAGACAAGATCTGGCTTCAAGCAATTGCAAATCTCAGACAAGCCCTTCATACACCTCCCCCTTTCCTCCTTCATGAGAGAGGCTTTCTTTAAAGAAAAACATACTGGTTACTCTGAAAATTCATCAGCTTAAAACTAACTCCCCATTCATTAAATTGTTGACTACAGAAAAGGGAATTTCCTCTCCAGGTTATTAACTTCCTTTATTTAGACTTCTCCAAGTGAACAGAGCCTCTGAGGAGAGGCTACTGAACAAACCCTCTAAGGTAGTGCTGGCTTCCCTCTGCACCTTCAGTCCCATGGAAGCCAGGGAGTTAAAAGCATCTAGTGGGACAGAGCCCACACGTAACAGTTGGCACTTGGAGTATTTCTGACAGGAAAGCAGATTGTTTTCCTTTATCTGCAGGCACAGAGCCTACACCTCTGTACATTTCCTTCTTGCATTTACACGTGAGCCACCACGTGAAAATTCACAGTGCAGCCAGAAAACACCACTAACACACGCTGCACTTCTAAAGCTTTAATCTAGGCAGGTCAGGAATGCTACCAGGAAAGACAGAGGCATATGTAGTATAAGACAGTGCCCCAGAGTCTGCCACTTGTGTCATGCTCATCATCTGGTGCTGATCATTCCAGCTGGCTCCAGAGCACAGCCACAACCCTGGATGTGGCACAGCCCTTTGCATCAGTGCTTTATGCATGGATAGAGCCATGTAACCCTTCTTCTTTGGTTGTCTTGCAGGAACAAAGTCATCTGGGTGGGTATATTTTCCCAGATAGGAATTGCTCTGATTCTTACCTATGGTCTGGGACACGTTACAGCCCTGAACTTCACACCACTGAGGTGAGTGTCAATGACAGTATGCTTCCCTTGCCCTCCAGGGACAAACACACATGGACTTAACATCCTGCCAGTAGCTGACAAACAGGAGCAGGATGCCCCTGGAGTATGATTTAAGGATTTCAACATATTCAGTAATAAATATGCAATAATAAAGTGCTCAGGTTGGACAGGGCTTGGAGCAACCTGGTCTAATGGAAGGTGTCCCTTCCATAGGACTAGATGAGCGTTAATATCCTTTCCGACCCAAACCACTGTGATTCATTATGAAGAACAGGGTGGACAATTTCTTGGCCAAAAAGGGTATTATTTTCATAGCTTCCACAAAAATAAAAAGCAGCACTACTTTTTCTATTAGATTTACTACCAAGGATTCAGAAACCTACTTGTGTAGGTAATATTTTTCCAGGATTCCCAATATTTTGGCAAGATTTAGATACTTTATTTTACCCAAGTAACCTTTATTTTAAATATATCACTATAAGAAATGTCCTTTTTTTCTTCAATCTTCAGAGGCTGTAACACCATCAGGCAACATTTCCTTCTCAACAGTGTCTGCAATAGATTCATTCAGTTCATTCATTTTTCTCCCACTCCCAGGTTTCAGTACTGGTTTGTGGCTGTACCATTTGCCATCTTGATATGGGTCTATGATGAAGTCCGCAAGCTCTTCATCAGAAGATACCCAGGCAGTAAGTAGAGTTCTCTCTAGTATTTCAATACAAGGTGTTCTTTGCTACTCTTTGACTGATACACCCACTTTAGCTGCTGCTGACAGGTTAAATTGCTTAAAAACAGACCATTTGCTCCCAATTTTCCTTTCCAAGGAAAATATAACTAATTCCCCCCTCTCCTCTCTCCTATTGCAGGCTGGTGGGACAAGAACATGTATTATTAAGACACGTCCTCATCACTGGTCTTCTTCCTCCTTATGGAGAGCTTCTTCTCCCCCTCCTGACAAAGCCTCTGCTGCTTGAATGTCCTGTCTGTGCAATATCAAGCATGGGTTTGCCCCATGATGGGGTGAAGGAATTTCATGAATATAAGAAGAAATAAGGACTTCAGAGGTTGATGGATTACCTCCCACTGTACTGTAAAGCTGACTCTTGTCTCGAAATTGGAAAGCTACCTATTTATGTGACAAGCACAATTTTCCCTCATTCAAACTTGGAGAAAACCGAGAGGAAAACAAGTGTAAAGGGAAAAAGAGGACAGAAAAGCCATATAATCCAAGGCATTAATTTGCACTAAAGGTGGTGTTTGATGATTTTCTTGTTTTGGTGGAACCAAATTCCAAGCAAGTGCATACATAAACCTGTATTCCCTTAGCAAGGGTAAACATGCTGTATAGGAGTAATTTGATAATAAAACTTTTTCCAGAAAACAACTCTCCTTTTTATCTTCTTATAAAGACTATGAGAAATGGAGTGGAACAGGAAAGGACCTAACCTATGCCAGGGCAAAGAGGAAGGAGGTGCCCACGTCCTTTTTTGTCCCCATTAACAGACCACCATACTTCAAATCCTTGTTCCGTTTTGATAAACGCATCTTGAACACCAAGACACAACTGGCTGACTGGAACACTTTGAGACATCAAATTCAACTTCACTTTCCAGTCTTTATGGCAAAATAGACCTTAGTATGCATTAGATACATACTGGAATGGGTTGCTCAAGGAAGCTGTGAATGCTCCATCCCTGGCGATGTTCAAGGCCAGGTTGGACAGAGCCTTGGGTGACATGGTTTAGTGTGAGGTGTCCTTGCCCATGGCAGGGGGGGTTGGAACTGGATGATCTTAAGGTCTTTCCCAGCCCTAACTATTCTATGATTCTACGAGTTAAAAGTGCTATTTGAAACCAGGTCTTTAATACGGTCATTTTAACAAGAGCCAGTAGGTACCATATCTTGTTTAGACAAAGGCAAATGATAAATAACGTGTGTTGATATTTAACATTTAAATACAAGTCTAGAGAAGCTTTAGAGAAGAAACAAAGGCGGAAAGAGATTTCCTGTTATAAGAAACAGCAAGAGAGATTAGCAACGAGAAACAAAACCAAGGAAGAATTGACGGAGGGGAAAAAGGAGTGTTTCCCAGCTTAAAGCCTATTCCCAAAAGTGCACGCCTTTATGTGATAGCAGCTACTTTGCATTTTATGAGCCTCTTCCTCAAAGCTCCTCTCCTTAATACCTGGGCGAGTATTACAGGAGTACAATTATATTGGCTACCAGCATTTTTCACATACAGACATCATTACAAAGGAAGAAGGAAGAGTGACACAAAATAAGGATGTAAACAATGGGTGAGTCCAAATTGCAGCTATATGTGCTGCTTATCACTTGGTAATTCACCAACCAGTATGTGGGGTGCCAAGCCGAGTCATTTCACCACCTTGTCATTTGTCATAGTGAGGACTGATTTGTTTTGTCTTCTGCTTAAAAGATAGGCAAAATATGAGAAGCTATATGGGCCAGCAACATAGCCCACTTTCCACCAGCTATAGATCTGCAGTCCTTAGCCAAAATGACATGTTCAAATATAGACAGGAAGAGGAATGAAAACAGGGGGAGAAGTTTTTGCACAGCATGGAGGCAGTCACTGAGCAGAACCAGGATAGAATATAGCAGAATATAGAACCTGGTCTACTTCAAAACCAAAATACATCTTCTCAAAAGAAAGAAAATCATGGCAAAGACAATTGGACCTGTTCTTCACTCACAGAATATACAAAGCTCTAAGAACACTGAGAAAGGCAGTGGTTGCTCTGCAGAAACACCTAAAGAGTAAAGAGTGATTTCTCCTGCTGGTGAAAGACCCAAGCTACAGCAAATTCTTACCAGCAGAAATGTCTTTTATTGTGCTCTAACTGCTGATAGTTATCACCTCAAACACATCACTCTGGAAGGACAGCAGCCTACTGCCACTGCCAGCTGGATGCAGTTGTGTTTCTGGCCTCCCTTTGGTACTCAGTCAACAGATCACTTTGCTGCTAAGACAAAAGAAAAACACACTGTATATTGTATACACATTGAAACTGTATACACAGAACCTCAGGATCAACCAACACAGCAAGAAACTGACAAAACCGCAGAGCTACAGAAGAGGAATTTCCCAGGATTTCAAGGCCAAAAGAATCTGCCTTCTTCAGTATTTTCCTAGGAACATTCTTTTGCCTATCACAAACCGTTCAGTATTTGACTGACAAATGCACCCTCCCCAGGATCAGCGAACTTTAACACATGGGTGTCCTTGGCTCAAAGGAGAGGCAAACAAAGGAACTGGGAGGAAACAAAGAAGTTTTGAGAGGAAAACTTGAAGGAATGGGTGCAATGCATCCATTTTAGCACCAACATATGCTCCTAAGAGCAAAAGAACTCTGTCATAGTAATATCTGGAAAAGTAGCAAACTTACGTCTCCAAGTCAAATGCTCTGCATTTCAAATGCTGCTTTAGCTCAAAGCCCTCTCCAGGGGCTAAGAGTAGTATGCACCCCAACAGCACCGTTTGGCTGCCTGTGACTCCACCACACCAACATCTTCCTTGAGAGGACAAGATGTACTTTGCAATCTGCTGCATTTTATCAATGCCTGAGTAAAGTTCAAATCAGGTTTGCAAAGCAACTGAAAAGCTAAGAAATGGGAAGATTAACATCATTTCCAAGAAGGGCAAAGCCCATGAACGCCTTGAAACAGATTCACTGTTTCTACATTTAAGACTTTCCAGTATTACAAAAGATCTCAAAACCATGAAGGCAAAACGCACAAACAGGTGTGGAAAGAAAGAATCCTACATTTTCTCACTGGCATGCATAGTATTCATTAGAACTATTAAGTCTGGACTGCACAGGACAAGACGGGTCATTGCATAATAGCACATGTGGGAAACAGCAGGTAGGACCTCCCAGTCCAGTGTAATGATCCTCTGTTAACATCTCAACTAAGGCATGAGGTTACGGTATCTGATGCAAATGAATGTGGAACTGTCCTCAAACACAGGCATTGTTTAACCCAATAAAGTCAGAAAGTATCACTATACCCATCAAACATTGAGTTTATACACAAGGAAAAGTGCAAAGACGATAATACAATCCAGCTGCAAACTGAACTAACTCAAACACACACAGACATCTTCAATCTCATGAGGGGTTTTCAAGTGGCAGTATCACACATCAATCCTTACACTCAGTGCTGCAGCATTTACTCCATTTAATCTGTTTTGTATCCCATTTGTGAGCAGGTTAAAGACATTCACCATGGCATGGCATCTTCTCATCCTAGTGGCTCCCAAATCAAAAATGTTACAGACATCCAGTTACATTCCAAACCTGGGCAGAATATGCCCACTACGATCCAGAACTGGAAAAACTGAGCTGGCAAGCTCTTTGTGTGATAGCTGAGAAGGAAAATAATTTACTTTCCTGGTGTACATACATCTCTTCCATTTAGCCTTGCATGGTCTCTATCACAAGCAGCCTTCAACCTTGTGTAGCTTTCTTAGTACTACATGCATGCCATTCTTATATGAGGCATGAGAATTCATGTAGGAACCACAGCCATGGACCATGCGTGCTAAAGCCTAAAACAGAAAGAGAATACAATTCCTCCACTCTGTCTTACTTGTAAATTCCTTTAGTCAGTGCTGCAGCCTCAACAGGAACAAGCATTGATCTCTCTCAGACAAGGAAGCAGCAATAACTCGATATGCAATGGAAAGAAGCAGATTTGAACTGTAAGTTAATATACCTTCAAGCAGGCTGCTTCTTTTCAGCCTACAACTCTGCTGCAAGCACTCCAAGAGTTAATTTACTAGCTCATAAACCGAGAAATCTTTCTTCAACAGAAAACTGTGCTTTCTTGCTCCAGCCCTAGCCGGACTATACAGGTCAGATGTCCCTACTGATTATGCTGCACTTCAGGCTTTCCTTTACCTCCTTTTACTTCTTTGCACAGCTGTCTCTAGTTTAAACTAGCTCTCCCAAAAACTCAAGCACCTTTCCCCTCTCACCTGTTCTGTTACTAGACAATTCCTGCATTCCAGCCAAGAGGCCAGCAAGATGGAAAGGGAGAGCTGGCTTAAGGCAAGGGGCTACTCTGCAGCAAAGCAGAGAGTAAGGCTGGCAGGTCTGAATTTTCCCCTGTGTTCAAATACAAAGCTATTTTGGAGGTAGCAGAAGAGACACATGTAATATCTAAGTGTAGTATGTATGCAGACATACTACCCTTCGATATGTACGTACACTACTACATACGCTGGCAGCAGTACACATCTTTCAGAGACAACTATACGTACAGCACATTCTTTTCCCTGTAAATCAGTTTTGCAGACCTCATGTAGGATACTCATCCCTTCTCAAAATAACAACTAGGAATTCTCCGTATTACCTTTCTAATTACAGAATACGATGCAAGAGCTGAAGAACTGTTTGAGAGAGCTTGTGATGGATGCTGAGACTGGAGAGATACAGTGAAGAGCTGGATGCCTATGAGGTGCAGAGCGCCTTTACCATCATAAACTCATAAGCAGGGTTCACATTTTGAAATGAAGCCCATAGCCAAATCATTTAGTGAAAATTGTTCTTATTAGCTTAGAAAAGCTAATGGCAATGCAGACACCATGACACTGCTGGCCTGTGTGTTCTCTCCACTAGAAGAGAAAGGAAAACACAGCAATTAATCTTCTCCTACTAACACTCGCAGGTAACTGCTGTTCTCACTGCAGTGTCAACACTTACTGAAAATAGAAATGACTGCAACAGTGCTAGAAAGACAAACCTAACTGAGAGGCCATTTATCCTTGTAATTCTAGGGATTACTGCTCTGCACACAAAGAACTCTGGGCTGGTGGCTCACGAGGGCAATGAGTTCTGCAGATGTGATGTAGCAAAGTAAATCCACACAAACACACACATAAGCCATAAGGAGACAATACTAAGCCTAAATTATGGTGCCATTACACAATGCAGGGCACTCTGATTTACAGAGACCCCAACAATTTCCTCCAGCCCTATCCCTGACACAAACTCCCAGACACTGTGAAGCTGGCTGCATTCATTCCTTCTGATACTAGAGGCTTTCACAGAGGGAAAACCACCTCCACCGAGGTCATGCCCTACTACACCTGCGTTAACCAGGTCACTTCATGGTCTTTTGCCAAAACAGGATTTTGCAATGACTGGAAAACTAGTCCAGACCCACCAGTGAAATCCCCCTGGGAGCAGATATTCTCTGGCAGCACTGCACACCCCATAATCACTCATTTCATCTAATTCCAGGTAACAGCACAACGTAGTTTGCATTCATTATGACACTCTATTTCTTGCTCAGATGGTAACTGAGTTTCCTTCAACTCCACATCATGAAATGAGTGTTCTGAATTAAATCTCTTCTTTC